ACGGGTTTCGATCATCCCGGTTTCTTGGCATTTCTACACTGAAGCTCCCATTCTAGATGGTGCAACCAAGATTACAGATTTCTAGATCCAACCGATCGATTGATAATCGTTACCTAATGCAAATCTATTTTTTGAAAAACGTCATCCGTAGGATTCGAACTCTAGACCTGCCGCTTGGTGGGGTGAAGACTAGACCACTTCACTAGGCCGCCACACCCTATTTATTATTAATATTATTATTTTGGTAAAATAATTTTTTTATATTTCTAAATTTAAATACTGAAAATTACTTATTTTACTTTGGTTTAATAAACTATTAGTATTATTGTTATTATATTTACTATTACTTAATTCAATTTTACTAATAATATATTTTTAACTTTTTTAATTTGATTCTGTAATTACTAATTCAGATTTACTTTTTAATTTAGTATTAGCTACTAATTCAAATTTATTTTCTAATTTGGATTTACTTTCTAATTTTGTATTGGTTGCTAATTTAAATTTACTTTCTAATTTAGCTTTATCTACTAATTTGAATATGCTTTTTAGCTTAGAATTAGCTGCTAATTCAGATTTATTTTCTAATTTATTATTAGCTTCTAATTTAAAAGTTTGTTTTTGAATACCAAATAGATTATCTATATTACAAACCAATAAACTACAATAATAATTAATAATATTAAACCAAAAAACTCTTTCTGATGATTCCTCATACCAAAATTTTTAGTTAAAAATCTAACTCAAAAAACAGTAAATTAGAGTGCATAGTATGAATAGAAGTATATATAACCATAAAGAGCCTAGCACCTGTTATTTAGAGGTAGTTCTCATATGCTATCTGCCAACAGGCTTAGAGTTTATCACTTACTGGTAGAGATAGCATCTGTCATTTAGAAGTAGTTCTCATATGCTACTTGCCAACAGGTTCAGAGTTTATCACTTAATGATAAGAGAGAGTTGTCTCTGGGCTAAAATCCTATAGTGTACTGCTTTTTGTAATGTCTTTTCTTGTTATAAAAATTTTTGCCAAGTATATGAAGCCTTACAACACCACTATCCACTTCTCTTGGCAACAAAAATTCAAAAAAAGTGGGCAAAACAGCTTACTCTCTACAAAAGATTAGCAGTATTTACATGTTCCAAATTCAGACAACACAGTAGATGACAACTACGTGTTTGGCCTAATCAGGCATGGAGCTACTGTTTTGGATTGGTCCCAGGTCAAAATACCCTAGTTGGATAGCAGCAGCATCTGGCTTAAGATATGGATATGGGAGTGGATTAGTTTAAAACTTCTGGACTTGGTTATTTAGTTGTAAAAATTAAAGTTAAAGTAATGCTTTATAATATAGATATATGAACATTGTCTTTCAAGTAGTATATAATTTTTTAAGCCTTGGCACAGGCAATAATAGTGCTACTTACCTCTGTCTGCCACCTCTTTTATACCTCTTTCATCTTGTTTAGTTATATTTGAATAATATTTCAGATTTTGTTCTTTTAGTTTTTCTTTTTCTTTTTAAATTGTCATTAGATTTTTGTTTATAATATAGCTTTAGTTTTCTGTTCTTGGATAAAAGTAATAGTTTGAGCTTTTGCTTGGTTTTAGGTAGAAGAGGTCTTTAAAGAAGAATTAAGTAGTGAAATATTGGTGACATGGGTCATAGCCATTTTCTATTGGCTCTTGACAGGGCTGATATGTCTTCTATCTCTATGTATAAGGTGATACAACAGGTCACATCTAGGTACTCGAGAAGCAACCAGATGATGTTGTACCTAATTATTATAGTTTAAATATATTTTCATGTGATTATTATATATAAAATAATTTGTCTAATTAATAAAAGTAATGACAAGACTGTCAAAGAGCTAAAAAAAAAAATAATAATAATAATATTCAAGTATACAACTAATAAATTTTTTTTTGTTCATTTAATTTTTGCTTGAAATAAATAATTGTTAGTATTTATATTCTAAACACATAACAGATATATTAAAATTTTTTGCTCTTTGTGCTATACTATTAAATAGTATATTATGCTTTAATTTTAATTAAGATTTTTTAAAATTTTTACTATTTTCAAGTAATAGATAACAAATTTTAGTAGTATTATTACTATATATATTATTTTAAAAAGTATAGTAATTATTTTTTTCAGGAATAGAATTAGAAAAGTGATGAATTTGGGTAAAAATATCTTGTTGAAGTCTTATCAGTTTACAAATAATATACTTTTTTTTCTGTATTTTTTAATTTAAAAAAAATAATATTGTAATTAATAGCAATAATTAAAAAAATACTTTAAATTTAATATAATAAAATAAATAATATTAAATAATAATATAATAAAATTTATTATTACAAAGAATATTGCTTTATTTTTAACTGTTTTTTATACTTTGTTAAATTTATTTAATTTTAATATTGTATTAAATATTTGATTAATATCTTTAGTTGTTGTAGTATTTATAGTTGTAAATAGCTTATCTTTTAAACTTTATTAAGCAAAAATACTATTTAAAAGCCTTCTTATAAGTTGTAATTATTATTTAATCCTTATTAAAAATTTAAATAGTTTTTAGCTTTTTTTCTAATATCTTTAATTGAATTATAGCATCTTAAAATTTATTCAAATTGTTAAGACATTTTTTATATATTAATTTAATATACTAAAATTTAAAATTTAATATTAATATAACTTTTTTAACAAGATTTTTCTAAGAATAATTTGGTTAGTTCTTATAGCTACTAAATAATCAAAATCAAGAAACAAATAATGAGAAATAAGAAAAATTTAAACAAAAAATAATTAACATAATAATTAAAGCTTATATTTGTAGATTAAAATAGGAAAAAATCTAGATAGTACATCTATGCACTTTGTGTCTTCTAGCAAAATTAAGCCAGCAATAGAAATTAGGGTTAGGTTAAAGTTAGATTAGAGTTATACAGGTTAAATAAAGACAAATCAGACACCACTATAATCCTAATATGAAGCTAATTTAAAACAGATATTTGGTGCAAATAGGAAACCTTTAAGATACATATCAGTTTTATATAGATATTCAATATATGGAGACCCTCATAGCAAAAGGGGCAGTGGGACAAAAATTTTGATTTTGTAATTTTATAAACATTGGTTTTCTATCAATCTAATTTTTTAAGAAATCAATTAAAAATAAAAAAAATTTTTTTGGCCCACTGCCCTCTTTTGCTGTAGAGGTTCCATATATTGAAATACTAATAGCTCTATAGATAAATCGAAAAAGATATAAAGCAAGCTTTATTAATTTACTTATAGAGCTATTAATATTCTGATATGTATTGAATATATATATGAAACTGATTTGTATCTTAAAGGTCTCCTATATGTACTAAATATCTGTTATAAATCAGTTTCATATTAGGATTATGTAATACCAATTGGTATCTGATTTGTCTTCATTCGGTCTGTGTTAGGTTAGGTTATAGTTTGGAGTTAGACTAGTATAAAATTATGAGAAGATTATTTTTTGCTTAGTTAACAACAGGGCTAACTTAGAGATATTGGCAATTTTATAATAAAGGTACAAAGTGTATAGGGTACTGACTAGTCTAGTCCTTAAAATAATATTGCTAAATTTTTATTATAATTTTTAATAATATAATAAAATTTTGTTAAATAGTATAAAAGAAATTATGTTTCAAATATAGAATCTTTTAAAGCTATAAATATACAGCTTTATAAAATAAATTATTAATAGATTCTGGTATATTGCATTTCATTATAATACTAAAACAATTCTAGCTTTAGTAAAATCATAATTACTAACTAATTTATCCTAACTAAAACTTGTTTTTTATATTTTATTTTAGCCATTAAATATCTAGGTTTATCTATTTTATAGTAATATTTATTATTAAAAAAAATAATATAAACAATATTTTTGAAACTTTATTGCTAATTTGTCAAACTTGAACTATAAATTTTAAATTTAATTAATTAGTATATTGTAATACATTTAAATTATAAAGACATTTTGATTAAAATTATATAATCAAATCTATTAATTACTATGCAGTAACCTGTTATATAAAATCATTAACAGAAATTGCTTTACTAAATAAATTACTATACTATATCTACAATTATTAATATCAAGCAATAAATCTGCAGTACTAGCAAAAAAACTTTGAGTTACTTTTTAAAATACTTTATAATATATTGGTGTACCAGAATTATGTTCTCATAAATCAGTAATAATTTTTGAATTACCAGGCTGCAATGCTAATTTAATTCTATTATCTACTTCTTTTTTATTCTGATTTTTAGCTATATTATAATTATTAATCAATTCATAATATAGTAAATATAGTACTATTAGTTTAACTAAGCCTAATAAAGTTTTACATTTAGATCTTCAAAGTTTGCATATTGTATGTGTATGATAAATATTGCTATTTCAAAATTGCATAATATTATTTCTGAATTAAATACAATACTAAAAATATATTACTAAACAACTATGCTCACTATTATGTATATATTGAGCTAATTTAAAAAGTAATCCTTTGTCTAATTCTTTAATATATCAATGTTTTGGCCTATTAATAAACTTAGCTAAAATATATTACTAAAAAATATTTTATACTTAAAATTACAATAATTTACATAGGTTTATTCAGAAGAAATAGTTCAATATTTATTTTTTTTAAAAATCAGTTTGGTCAAGAAAATCAACTAAAAGTTGATAATAACTAATAATATATGATTTTCTAATCAAATTGGAATGTAAAATAGTAAAAAAACTATTATTTTTTTTTAAATAGTTCAAAAGAAAGATGATTTGTGTTGTAGTTGTTAGCAGTTTTTGTAAAATTTCCTGATACCGAGAAAATTTGTAGCTAATGTTTCCAATGGATTAACAAGCCACTAAAATACAGATTTTTTGTTCTATGCAGATCTTGTATGTTTAAATAAAATATTTGAATGATATGCAAAAATAGTTGTAAAAAACTATTCTCTTGCTTTTTTTTTGTGAATTACATCATAACGTCCAGTAAATTGATCCATTTTATCAGGAATATTACAACTTCAATTTTTTAATTTTACTGGATCACATTTATCAACATACCATAATGCAGCAGCTAAGTCTTTAACAAATTCTTTTCCAGTTGTCATAGCAGTATCTTTGCTCCATCCACCATTATTTTCATGAATCCATTCAACAATATCATATCACAATTTTTCTAGTGCATTTGAGTGTTCAGAGACAGTAAAAGTTGGTAAATTATTTAAGCTAGTAGCATCATTCATCATTTGTGAAAAAATATTAATTGGCACTTTAGACAATAATGATGTTGAGCTATTTGTTTGATAATATTGTACTCTGTTTCCCCATGCTTCAAGTGCCTCAGTCATATTAAATTCCATACTAACAACATTAAAAGGACCAGTTTTATTGGATGAAAATTCAGCTTTAATTGGCTGTAAATGATCTTCATTATCTAACCATACTTCAGAAACAAATTTTCCTGCAATAAGATCCTCATAAAATTGTCTTACAGTAATATCTTTCGGTACAGGAACACCAATCCAGTCTACTTTTACACTTTCTGCCTTAATACGTACAGATACAACGGGCATTTCGATTTTGTTAAATGAATATTAATAAAGCTCAAAACTTTTGTTCAAATATGTAACTATAATCACATATAGAATAAGCATCATAAATTACATAGGTTGTGATTTATACTTGCACAGTTTAGGGCGAATAAAAAATAATTCAAGTTAGCAAAGAAATTAAAAAGGTAGGAAAAAACTGCTTACTCATGAGGATAAGATTGAGAAAACTGGATTTCAGTGACATGACATAACCCAGATCGATAAATGCAAATTAAATTAAATGCTATTTTGGGAGATTAATGCACGTAACGTAATTACTAATAATTCCATATACAGTCAACTCTTTATGATGAATTGATGGTTCTGGACAAAAAAAACTCATTATAACAAACCATTATGTTTTCTTTAAGAACCATAGCTTATTTTATACCGAACTAATATTGTAATTTAAAATTTTTGAGTTTATTATACGCCGAATTTGCTGTATAAAGGTTCGTTATATCCAGAGTTGACTTATATGAACCATGATAATTCTATTTGCGATCCTTGTTCCACGAAGGGAAGTGTTTGAACGACGCCCGAGTATATTAAGCAGGAAGAGTTCGAATCCTGCCATTTTCGTAGTAACTGCTTATTTTCTTTGATGGGCCTGTTTTACACAATGGAAGCCGCCGGTTAATGCCCCTTCTGCTGTTTATGGGATACTAGCGCAATCTCGATTGCTATTTTCCGGGTGCATATCCCGTTTCAGTTGGATCTATGTTACGAAAATTTTGTTTAAATTTTCTTTGTATGTAATATTTTTTTTATTATTGTATTAGTATTCGTTACTATATTTTAGTACGATTGTATAGAGTGGCTGTGTATGGAGATCTGGGTTTGGAACCACAGATCGTGGGTTGAGAACATAGATCTCGGTCTAGGACCACCGATATTGGTCTAAGACCTCAGCCTTGGTCTGAAACCACCGATATTGGTTTGAGACCCAAGATCTTGGCCCAGGACCATTTGATCTTGAAAAGTATAAATACAACGGTTAAACTAATAAAGAACATAATAATGAATTGTCATCTTATTGCTTCGATTAAATAACTAAATAAATAAATACATTCCTTAATAACCCTTTATCATTAATTCCGAATCCCTAATGAACATTCATATTGCATAACCTATGCTTGCAACCCTGAGCTAATTTGTTCCCACGTTAGCCAAGTCTCTCCCACGGTTGTAACAATTGATGCATACATTCTTTTGAAATATGAATTTATTGAATATCGATCGATATGCATTCTTTAAATAAATTCAATTTCGGTAAATGAGGCCTGATTCATTCCAACAATAACATGAGTGCAACACTTTTTCGATCAATAATAATCAAAATCTCTCGTATTCAAGTTACCCTTATCATTTTAGCAGAATCCTGCTTAAATTATTAATCGGTAACAGCATATTAAAGAATTATCAGCAAGCATATATAATTCATTTATCCCTTTTATTTTAGTTGAATTATTTTGTATAACCATGAGACGTTTTTTTAAAGCTTATTTAAATTATTAATTGATAACAATATATTTGTAGAATTAGCAACAAGCCCAACACAGTTTCGTAACACCACATCAATGATTACATTAATCTGAAGTCGTAGCTATAGTATCCGAACAATTTTAAAGGCCCTGGCTACACAAAAGTTCAGGAATTAGATGTGAATATGAGTAATAATTTAGATTACAGTAATAATAAAATAAAATAAAGTAAAAAAATAAAAAAAAATAAAAAAAAATCCGTCCGTCCGTCCCGAATTTAGAAATCCATGTAATGCAAAACGAAAAATCAACTTTGTGTGGCCTTATCGTATGTCTACTGTAAAAATTCTGCTACAGAACTTACTATTTTGGTGACCACAAATTCTCTTCAGAATTTGCTTGCTATTCTGATGCAGCAGTATGTGGTTTAATCACGTTAAAAAATTCTGTTCAGAATCTGCTTGCTATTCCGATGATTACTGCATGCAATTAAGGTTGTAGAATTATTATGCTAATGTAAAAAAGCCTGTTACAAAACACTCTCGATATTCCAGTGGCACATGGTATATAGTTGAGGTTGAGTTAGTTCTGTTGGCGGATGTCAATTTTTAAAAATGAGGGCTACAAAATAAAAACTTGGGATTCTTGATTTTAAAAAATTTCACTTTTAGAAACTGGCAATATATTTTTTAACCGTTTTTTTCAAACCCGAAATTTTTTAAAATCAACAATTTTAGGTTTTTGCATTGTGATACCATATATAGATAAACGATTGAATTACAAAATTATTTACCGTAAATATTGATTATTATTAATTCAGCAGTTATAAATATATGACGATATGTTACGATATTAATCATGAAGTCGGTTGAATGTCACAATAATTACAGATTTTACAATCACGTGAAAGTTATAATAATATTCGAACTATAATTTTTTTAACAAGTCGAACATTCATACAGAAAACCGTGGATATTGTAAACGGATGCTAACTGTATATACATCATATGACATCATAAATAATTCATAAATGGACCAATCCTGAATTAAATTACATGATCGAGAATATCGAATAATTACAGATTTGACAATGTGGATAGTCAAGAATGTCAAAATTTGCAATAGTCGAGAATATATTCATACAAATTATGGTCAAGAATGTAGTACGTAATAAGGACGCATATACATGGGTGTCTAAATTATTTTTGAAAAATCGTATTTTCGGCAAACTTTTCGGCATTGCAAAATTTTTTATATGAACTCCTTCGAAATAACTATATTATATGATGTATTTTGATGAAAAGAGTTCAAAAAATTTCGGCAATAATTTCGACAAATATGAAAATTAATTTCGACACTATATAAAATTAATTTCGGCAGCCTAAATGCCGTAATTACATTTTTATTAAGATGGGCAATTTAGGCACCTGTATAAGAACGCAGCTTAAACAGTAATCACATGATTGCGAATCATAACACAACCACGAACATTAAGGCACTAACAACTGTGCATATACGTACGTAATCCACATACCAACCACAGGTAACCAATCAAAAACGTTTAAACGGATGAATTCAGAATTAGATGGTAAAAAAATAAAATATATAGATTATTAAACTTTATAACACAAGTATCCTATAGTAGTTACAATATATTCCAATTTTGTGATTAAACAATTATTAATTATTTGAATTATAATGTCATAATTTGCTTATTAATGTATTAGTCTTAATATTTTAATTATGTTTCATATAACTAATGAAAAGTATTAATGTATATACTAATTTTATTGGTTAATAAACTGATATAACTACAATTGCTAAGAGATATTACAATTATCAAATAATCTGAACAGCAAAAGTCTAATACAAACTAACTAATTATATACTACTGTGTCACCACAATAGCAAGTTTTGTAACAAAATTTTTACAATAGATCATAATAATCATAATACAAATCACAATTACATATTAATTCTAATACAAACAAACTCAACTATATGTCTAATTGTCTAATTCTAAATTAAAACAAAGTCACATTCTACCACATAATCATGCGCAAATTTATAATATCAAATGTCTTGGTTCTGACCTTTGTTTAGATTTTTCGTTCCTAGATATGCGCAATGATGTCGCGCAATTATCTAATGTAATATATCATTAACACTAATAAAAATCATCCTAAAAGCCTTTTATTCTTTAAATGAATGTTAATATTTACAGCACAAAAAATCCGAAAAGAATCTTGACAAACTTAGAAGGCAAATAAAATACACTATTACTTATTATTATTGTTATGTTCAGTTATGCAAAAAGATGATAATGATTAGTGTTAAATTTTAATTTAAAGAAAAGTTATTGCAACTATTCATTTTAATAATAAAAGTCTTAAATTATGCGCATGTTCTCATTAGATTTATAAATATTAATAATAAGTGCAACAATAAAGAGAAAGCTTTACTGCAATAAGATCGTTTACTTCAGTATGAATTTTTTTCTTTTCGATTTAGTTAGATCGACGATCTGTATAATGTTTTTTGAGTCCTGTGAGTCCGTAAATACTACTTTTTATCCGGCAGCCTATTATGATTGTGCTGCAAAAATAACTCGAGTTATCCGGCAAACTCATATGATCATGAAAAAATTTCTTTCTGTTATTTTTTTCATGTGTTACGATATAATTATGT